GACATAGACTAAATGTAAAAGAAAAGGTATGGTTTTGTTCCCTATAAGCTTTATTTATAGAACTGAAATTTGCATTTCATTTAATTTTATATGTCACAAAATACTTTTGATTTTCTTCCTCAAATATATAAAAGCATTATTGCCTGCAGACCATACAGAAATAGTCAGTGGGCTGAATTTGGACCATAGGCCATATTTCACTACCCTAAATCTGACTCAAGAGATTTGGCAGTGTCTTTTCCTTTTAATTGCTTTTTATGATGTTTAAAGAGCATGTTTTAAAGGAAAAGTGAAATGTGACTTTTATTATTTCATAGATACCTTTATATTTTACTGGTTGTTACTTTATGAAGGAAATATTAAAAATGTATCAGTTCATCCAGTGATGAATATTCACTCACTTATATTAAATTTGTATTTTCAGAAAACTTTATTTTCAGGCTCTTTTGTGCATTAATAGCTTTTATTTTAAAACCTTCATCGTAATACAATATTTATGAAGACATTTTAAGTAGCAACTAAGAATTTTATCAGATGATATTGCATTTGGGTACAAGCTCTAGAGAACTGGATAAAGAGTGGCTTACCTTTTTAGAAGCTTATTCTATGATAGGGAAAAGTAAAGCCTGGGGTGGCAGCTGTGAGCATCATCGGGGACCTGGACTCCTGCTTTCTGCCTGGCCATCCTTAGCATATGATGCTTATCTTCTCATTTTCGAATTGATTTTCTGGACCTTCGGCCCCATGTCTGCAGTTCTGCAAGGAAGAAAGGAAAAAGGGAAGGACAAAAGGGGTATTTTCTTTCGGTTCATGAACTGAAGCCTCCGCAAAACCATCTGCCATACATCTCATTGGCCAGAACTGTACCACGAGATTATCTTTAGCAAGAGTCACATGGGTAAACACATTTTTGTAGCTGAGCACATTGCTTTTTTTAAGCCAAGGAGATTTCTGCTACTAAGAAAGGGAAATCGGTTACTGGGTAAACAGCAGTTGTCTGCTTGGCTTTTCTGTGTGTTTGAATAAAAACCGCACATGTGAGTTAACAGGTGCCTTTCTCTCATGGATAAATTGACATGAATGAAGGCACTGACTGGTGTCCCACAATTACTTCTCCATTTGCTCAGTGAATTTTTTAAATCATTGACTGTAAGGTGCATTTCAGGTCGGAAAAGTTGAAATGTGGGGAGAATGAAAGTCTGTGTATAAAGGAACTGATTGTGTGTTGTTACTTGAACTCTGGGATCATGCCCAGCACATGAAGTACCCTAGGCCACTTCCTGTTGCCCCACGGGAAGGCCTTCTGTTACCTGGGGCACCCTGCAGCCCACAGTCCCAGGCCACGGCCGCCTCTGCTGATCTTAAAAACAGCCTGGCTGGTGTGATTCATCTTCCTTCCTGATCTGGTGTTACAAACATCCACAGAAGACTTCCTTCTGTGATTTAAATTTCTCCCATCCTGTACATTTGAGTGGTTTGCTGTAGTGTTAGCTAATTTTCCATGGTTTTGGCTACCTATGTCCTTCCATTTCTTATTTCTTTATCTAGCCTTTCCTATAAGTGTAAGGAGGCATCATTTCTATAAACCTCAGCCTCTCTGTGTCGTGGATGTGCCCTTCCTGCTCTTCTTTGTGTGTTTCTTGCTGTTGAAGTACATTGCTTGCACTTATTCTTTCGTTTTTGGTTTTTTTTTTTTCTTTTTGGTACCGGGGATTGAATTTGGGTCCTTTTGCTTGTGCAGCAGGCGGCTAAACCACTGAGCTAAATCCCTGACCCAACACTTATTCTTTTGCATACTGACACATTTATAATATTCAAAAAATTTTAAAGTAAAGCTCTTGCTCCCACTTTCCCCCAGGAGCTCCCCCAGTTTCTATTCCCAAGGCCCCTTTGGCTACATAACCTTATGACCTTCAAGATATAAATGTATTCCCGATTTTCTCCCTCTCCCATTTTTTTTTCTAAAAATTGACCCTAATCTACACACAGTTCTCTCTTTTTTTACCTACTGATTTACCTTAGAGATCTTTTTATTACAGTATTAACACATCTATAGGTGCTCCTTTCCTGTTACTAAACTGCACATTATTAGGGGGATCTCTTGGTAATAACCCCACCATGCTGCCTGTTTTGCGCTTTTAAAATGGGATATTCCTTACATTTTACACTTTACAGTGGTCTGCCAGTCATCAGCATTGCTAGTAGGAAAGGATCTGTTGCTTTCTGCATTGTTAATATTACTAACGTGTTTGAATTTTAATATGCAATTATTTTTTTACATGTAGTTTTAAGATGATGGTCACAAGGAGACAAGGAGGGAGGGGTGTGAGACATGAACACTTTCAGACTAATGAGAATGTAAATCGGTGTTGTCCTCAGGAGCCTGAACAGTGTCTCTACTGTTTGACCCTTGGGTTTCATGCATGGGGCTTTGACTTAAAGTAGTTGTATTGAGAGAGAAAGTCAAGATTTATAATGAAGATGTTGCCTCTGTCTCAATGTGTGTCTCCCCCAGTTCCTGTGTAAAGCAAATCCCCAGTGCAATAGTCGTGGGAGGTGGCTGTTGGAAGGTAGTTAGGTTGTGAGGGCAGACAGCCTTCTGCAGAGCCAGCTTGTCCTTCGTGCTGTGTGAGGGACACAGCAAGAAGCTTCTGTCTATGAACCCGGAAATGGGCTCTCCTCAGTCACCAGTTCTGCCAGTCCTGTGCCTTATCCTGAACTTCCCAGCCTCCAGAAATGTGTGAGATAAACTTCTGTTGTTAATAAGCTATATGGCCTGTGGCGGTGGTGGCGAACCTGTGGCACGTGTGCCACAGCAGGCTGTTTATCATTGAAAGCTCTAAAAGTTTCGCCATCACTGATCTATGGTATTTCATTATAGTAGCTGAAAGAGATAAGACAAATGTTCCCCACATTATTTCTAGTGGTAAAAAGTTATGAGCATACTAAATACCCAACAACAGAGTAGTGACTGACTATATATGTACAGGTTGGAGTTTTCAGGCAGGTATTAAAGTTGTACTTTTGGAAAATGCTTGTCTGAGGAAATTGTGGAGGATAAGTCATTGACAAGGGGCAGCATTGCAGTTCATTTTACCAGTGCAGTCCTGGGAAAGGGAAGTCTGGTTGTGCTGTAGGAGATTGCAGTGTTAAGTTTGTAAGTGTGTACGGTGTGTATATGTGTGTATATATCTGTGTATTTCTGTGTGAACAGGACAGGAAGAAGGGAAAGTAAGGAAGCTGTGTTATCCTGTAGGTATCCCAGTGATGAGAAAGGACAGGTTCTTAAGTAGTCACATTTTGCAGTAAAGGTGGCTATGATGTACATTATTTGGGGAGCCAAAGTTTCATTATGAATCACTTTCATGTTCATGCTAATGAACATTTAAAATAAGTTAGATGTGGAGCTCTCATATATACAGAAGTTTAGACTCATTCCTCTCAGTTTTAGCAGTGGTTACCTGGGTAGTAGGATTATAGGTCATTGTTTTATGATTTCCTGACTTTTGCAAAGCAAATAACTCGCTTTCATTATCGAAGAAGCTAGATCATGAAAGATACTGTGGTGTGAGAAGACGTAGTCTATGAACACATAAGAGCGGTGGAGAGCCAGAAGGCTACTAAGCAGGAAAATGACATTGTTTTCACAAGAACACAAACTAGTGTAGGATCCTCATTAAAATAGATAACCTCAGTTTCCTTATCTATAAAATAGGAGCAATAAAATCTTCCTTTTGGCTTTCAATGGAAAATCAGGTAGGATGGAAGACACTTTTTTGCAAGTTGAAGTTTCAAAATAATACAACCATATTTCTGAAATTGTGTTATCAGTTGGGGAAACAAGTTAACTTTTTCAGAAATGAGAAATAGCTTAGTTGAAGAAGTCAAGATAAGGCTATTACCAATTTAGATGCGGAACTATACAGTAATTTGCTTGTCTTATAGTATCATTAGGCTTAAACGTCTGTCCTATTTTGCCAGCTATTTATTTGCATCCATACAAACTGTACTATCTTATTATTCATGAATTTCCACTCAAGGGATCAGAAGCCCTGTGCTTGAAGCATGTACCAGACTTGAAACTGCAGAGCACATCATTGAGGCTTTTGGGGGGAACTTGGTTGGAGCGGAGAGACAATAAGTATGTGAGATTGTTTTTCAAGCATTTTGTTTTTTATGTTGAGAGGTCTTTCTGGCTTGACCTCTCAAAATGATCTTCTTCCCTGACTTTTATAAAATTTATTTTACCCTTTAAAGTTTGTTCTTTGTACAGATTCTCCAGAATCATCAGAACAATCGAGTTTGTTTTCTTATGTTTTATGTGCCATGGTTAATACACCGCATATTGTCATCCATCTTAGTTAACCCATACCCTTAGGTTAGGAGGGTGCATAACATCTGGAAGACCTGCAAATATGTGGGCAGCTCCTCAGAAGCACACCTGAGCCCTGTGATTGAAGGAGGGAACGGAGAGGGTCAGAGGAGTGAGGAGGGGAGAGTTCTCAGCGAGGTGATGGTCGAGGTTGATTTCTTACCTGGCAATGGAGAGTGTCCTCATCTTGGGAATTGAAAGGTGCTTTCATGATGGTGATTATAGCAGTGGAGGCTGAAAGAGGCTGCTGAGAGAATAAAAATGTTGCTGCTCCTCCAGGTACCTGTGAAGTGCTGGCATCTCGGGTGTCAGCTCATGGCTGGGGCAGAGGGAGCGACATCTTGCGGGTGGATGGGATGGGCAGTGGTTAGGGCCAATGGAAGGCTGAGTCTGACCCCACTTGGCCTGTGTCCCCAGGCATCCAGGCTGAGCCTCAGTATTCTAGGAAGTAGGTGGAGACATCACTCTTAGTTCTCTGCGGGATGTCATTGAGTGGCCAGTACTTCCACAGTGGCCTGTGGAAGTGCCCCTTGTATCTCTGACTATGAGAAACTGAATCTAGTTCTGTTGGAAAGGCATCCTTATGGTTTCATGTGAGCATTTCTCCTTGTTTGTTTTCTCTCTGTAGATAAAGAAGAAGCAGCAGGATGTGGTTAGATTTCTGGAAGCCAACAAGATAGAGTTTGAGGAGGTGGACATCACAATGTCAGAAGAACAAAGGCAATGGATGTACAAAAACATCCCCCCAGAAAAGAAGCCTGCTCAGGGAAACCCGCTGCCACCTCAGATATTTAATGGCGACCGATACTGCGGGGTAAGTGGCTGATTGTTCTCGCACTCCTTCCTCTTGGCACTCATCACACGTAGTCACCATATGCATTGGGCTGCTTCTGGTGACGACTGTGTCCTCTTCTCCCAGGGCCTATTTAGGGCCATGGGTCTAACAGGGCAGAGTTGAGAGAGGACCTGAATCCCAGAACACAGAGAGTGCAGGTGCACTGAGTGGTTGTGTGGTTTGTGAATGTGAGCAACAGTGTATCAGGCTCTCTGTCCCTCAGTGCTTTGAAAGAGGGAACGGGATGGGAAACTGTGTATGTGTTTACTATGTTCTACATTTTGAAGCATATCTTTTGATGATTATGTTTTGGGGGCAGAATAAAAGAGGTAATTATTCCTGAATATTTGTTATGATTTATGAACCAGAAGGATCACTAAGGACACCTAAAATCTATTGGGTGTCTTCCTGCTTTGTGTATCATATGAGAAGAGGGAAGTCAATTTTGTCTTAATTATCTACCTGCCTTCTTACATCTTTGATTAACACATTTTGAGAACCTTCTTTCTTTCTTTTTTTTTTTTTTTTTTTTTTTTTGGTACTGGGGATTGAACTCGGGACCTTATGCTTTCAAGGCAAGCGGCGGAACCACTGAGCTAAATCCCCGGCCCTTGAGAACCTTCTTTCTGATGAGTAGGTTAGGGTTTGCCCTCTTCTCTTTTCTTTTCTTTTCTTTTCTTTTTTTTCTTTTCTCATTCTGAGATCATATGTTGACATTTATTTTGGGACTGCAGTTCTTTTAAAGATGGCCTGGAGAAGCAGACGGAGCTGTAGTGCTGAGGGCCTTGAGATGAAACACAGAGCTGGGACATCACCAGGGTGGAGGAAACAGCTCCCTTCCCCCAGAGAAGGAGCAGCTGGGAGGTAGCTGTGAGTAGATTGCACACAGCCTTCTTACCTTAGGAGAACCCTAAACATGACGCTAGACATGACTTTGAGTTCTGGGGCCACCTTATGTTGGCTGGGACACACTGGAATGCTACTGTTTAAGCCTCAGTCTTCTCTTCTTCAGGCAAGGGATGTTAGTGCCTGGCTAACCACCCAGGATGTTTGTGACTGTTTCTAGAGCACTTCTTAGGACCATTAAGGATACTGACACCCTTCATGGTTTCTCCTCCCACTGCCCACATTTGTTGTCATTCAGGACTATAAAAGTCTCCAGCTTTATCAAAATACAGAATTTCTATTTCTTAAAGTCCCTTTGTTTTGTTGAGAGAAAGGAGGTAGAAACATTGCTGTATCATCATAAAGTGAAGTCTTCGGAGTCCTTTGAAACAGGGTGAGGGAAGAGGAGCATGTGTGTGTAGGATGAATAAAAGCATGTAATGTTATGAAATAAAGTGAACTTTATTCTTCTTTTCACCTCTTTGTGACTTCTAAGTCTCTGTATCTTGGCCTGTGAGCAGAGTCTCTAGAACTTGTTTTAGGTAGACTTTCTGGGAGCTGGCTCAGAGCTTTCTGGCTGATTACACTGCGCCAGCCAAACGGCATCTCCTTGCTTCAGCAGTGCGAGTTCCAGGGTCCTGGAGTCAGCGGCTGCTGGTGTACGTCCTGTTGTCACAGTCTCTTCCGGCAGCAGTATGGGAGACAGTGTCTGCTTTTATCAAGGTCAAGGAAAAACTACCTTGACAAGGTGTTAGAGGACAACTAACTGGGCTCATTCGTCCACATGTTCCTGTGCACCTTGCTGTCCCAGCCACTGTTTCTGGTGGTCTCAGCTGGTTAGGTGACCTGTGGAAACTTATCACATTGCAGGTGACAGCATCCAGAGAGCCTGCACAGTCTTCTATGCCCTGGATTGTCTACAAATTTAGGACTTTACTTTAAGGTAGATGAGCTAGGCATGCGAGATGTGGCGTAAGCCCCTGCTAAGCTACTTGGCAATCAGTGTGGACAGGTAGTTGCCTTCTCTCTCTCATTCAGCATTTCAGATTCCTGTCTGTTTCAAGGCATTTCCTGCCGAGTGGAAGCCTCAGGCAGAACCATCAGTTCCTCCCGGCCCAGAATTTGGACACGGAGGGGATGATGCAGAAATGCAGGTGCAGTTGGAGGCCCTTTGTGGCAGTGATGTCTTGGGGTGAGAGAGCCAGGTGTAGCAAGGTGATCCTGGGGCATAGCCCGTGGATGTTCTTGGCTACCCAGGCAGCAAGGTTGCTCAAGCTCTTTAAGCCGGTTCTCAGCTTTACTGTGGCTTCGGTTGGCTCGCCACTGTATCTCCATAAACCCTTCCTCTTGACTTGCCTGGTCCTTTCATTTACTTGAAATAGATCCAAACTGCCCCAGCTTGTTTTTGCCTTCCTCGTGTTCAAGGTTTTAAGCTTTTATTCTCTCTCTGCATAACTAGTCTGTGTGGAATATTCTAGAGATGAAAATATAGCATCCATCCACACAAAAGTAAAATATCAACTCCTCTTTTATTTCTTTTCGCCCTCTCTATTAGGCAAACGGTTGATTTGGTTCTCTTATTTTCTTATTTTTTAATTGTTGTATTTTTCTTATTTTTTATCAAGGTTCATTGTGACAGAAAAACACGTAAAATTTACCATTTTAACCATTTTAAGTGTACGTATCACTGGTATTAAATTTATTCACATTATTGTGAAACAGATGCCTGAAACTTTTTATATTGTGAAATTGAAACTGTATCAATTAAACAATTCTCCTTTGCCCTCTCCCCAAGTGCCAGGTATCCATCATTCTTCTATTTCTTTGAATTTGACTACGTTAGATACTTTATGTAAGTGGAATCATACAGTAGTTGTATTTTTGTGACTGGTTTATTTTATTTAGCATAATATTCTCAAGGTTTATTCATGGCATAGCATGTGATAAGATTTTCTTTTAAGTCTGCATAATATTTTATTGTCTTGTGTATTTTATATTTTGTTTTTGCATTTAACCATCAACAGACATTTGGGTTGCTTCCACCTCTTGCCCATTGTGAATAGGGATGCTGTGCACATGGGTGTGCAAATATCTCTTCAACACACTGCTTTCAATTTCTTTTCATATACCTAGAGGTGGGATTTCTGTATCATATGGAAGTTCCAATTTTAATTTTGGGAGCAACATGCAAGCTAATAGACTACTTTATAATCTACCAACAATGCACGAAAGTTCGAGCTTCTACACATCCTTACCAACATTTGTTATTTTCTGCTCTATTTTGTTCTTATAGAAGTCATCCCAATGGGTGTGAAGTGATATCTCATTATAGTTTTGATTTGCATATCTAATTATTAGTGATGGTGAACATCTTTTTAATATGCTTAATAGTCATTTGTATATTATCTTTGGGAAAACGGCTATTCGAGTCCTTTTCCATTTTTTAAATCAAGTTATTTGTCTTTTTTATTGTGCAGGGTTGTCTGAGGATGCCAACACTTAGGGTCGGACAGAAGGGGAAGATGGAGAGAGTTGAAGGGGAGCAGGAAATGTGGTTAGAGTTAGCACATCAATTCCTGTCTTAGAGTGAAGACAGGACAGCTTACCCGAGAGACAAATGACAGATTCTCTATAGAAAGATCACTTTTTGATCATTTCTGTGAGGCCAGCACTTGGGAGGCTGAGGCAGAAGGATTACTGTAAGTTCAAGGCCAACCTTGGCTACATAGTGATTTCAAGGCCATTCTGAACTACATAGCAAGACCCTGTCTCAAACAACCAAAGAAAGTTGGTATTTATAAAATGTTAAATTTAAGGGGCCGGGGATTTATCTCAGTGGTTCCGTTGCCTGTCTCTCAAGCACAAGGTCCCAAGTTCGATTTCCGGTACCAAAAAAAAAAAAAAATGTTAAATTTGTCTCTAAGCATTGGATTTGTTGCTAACCAAATCCGAAGTCAGTAAACCAGTGACTAGTTTTGTTTAAATAGTGATTTGGAGCTAACTAACTATGCCTGTCGTTGCCCATATTCCCTTGGTTATTTAAAACCTGGAAATGGGCTAGAGGGGGTTAGACTCATTGTTAGGAGGAGCAGAAATGGTACCTGGCCAACAGGAGGTCTTCAGGTCATCCCTTCCCCTGTCCTTCTTTCCTACGAAAGGAGACAAGGACATGTGTTCCCCTCTGCTAGCCGTTGGTAGAAGCTCAGCACCTCACCCCATGTCCCTTTTCATGAACTTTTTAAGATTCAAAAAATTTCATATTTGCAGGGACTGCTTGAAAATATATCATGCAGTCCTCTAGATCAGGAATTAGGCAGTCCAGTAAATATTATAGGCTTTGAGGGCCACATAGTTCTCTGTGGCATATTCTTTTTTGTTTTGATTTTTGTTTAGTTGTTTCTATTTTGTTTCCCAACCCTTTAAATAACTAAGCACTATTCATGGTTCACAGTCCATACCATAGTTTACTTCTGCTCTCGATAGTCCATTCCCATTTCTCTCTGCCTCTTGGAGTTCTTCAGTGGCCACATTTGAGAAAAGCCGGAGTAGCTTTTGCCCCAGTATCCTTCAGAAGGAAGTAGATCTCAGCTAGGGGAAGAAGCCTTGACCTGTGTTTTAGCCTTCTGTAATACTTGTGCATTTGTAGAACTCCACTGAGAGTTAATAAGAAATAAAAGGAAAGCTGAAGTCCCAGTTTTTCACCTTTAGTATATGCTCTAAGGTGTGGCTGTTACTTCTGTAGGGTTAATGGCTGCATCGCCTGCACAATATGTAAAGTGGAGCCTAAGAAATCACCTTATCTTAGTCACTCTCCTGTCAGAGACAATATCTGACATCCACAACTTGAAGGAGGAGAGGTTTATTTTGGCCCACATTTCAGTCCAGGGTCAGCCAGCTTCAAACCAGGTTTCAGCATGACAGGGGTCATGGTGGAGGAAAAGCCGCTCACATCATGGCAACCAGGAAGCAGAGAGAGAGTGAAAGGAGGAACTGAGAAAAGAGATGTAGCAGTGATGGCGAACCTTTTAGAGCTTTCAGGGATAACAAACAGCCAGCTTCGGCACGTGTGCCGTAAGTCACCACCACTGAGATAC